CTCTGGCTAAACTGTGTCGGAACTAATCCCCACCCTCTCTAGGTAGGAGAGCCCATCCGTGTGGGGRTGTGACTGACCATTTACCCTGAGACCAATCACTGACCCTGACCTTGGAATGCTATCCCCTGCGACCTTCATCGGATGGAATTTTCCCCTGAATTTCTTGTTCCCCAATAAAAGGCCACTTCCTGGCGTGCTCTCTCTCTCTCTCTCCTGCTAGTCCTGAGTAAGTCTTGCTGCCCCACCGGGTGGCTTGAGGCAGGAGCCAGAGGGGAGAGCCATCTCAGACCTGGTCAAAGAAAAAGGTAAATTGAGTTTTGTGTGTTTATTTTGATCTCACTAGTTAACTTCTGTGCTACGAGCCTCTAGTATGAAGCCAGTGTGCTGGTCGCCTGGTAGAACCTTCTCTGTCTACCTATCTCTAATCAGAGGTCAGCTGCACTCACCTCCACATTCTCACTCTAGGCCTAGCCACGTTTGTGGCTGATTCCACTTTCCCTCAAAGTGATCTGACGGCCTAAAAGAAACTACCTAGTTTCTGGCATGGGCAGGCCCTAAGAATGCCAGCAACATAAATGGAGGGAAGGCAGTTTTCATTCACCTGAATAGAAACCTGACCAGGAACAGGCAAGGTTCTTGGGTTATCTTAAATAAAATTTCTGACTCCTGAGTGTTAAAAGCTAGAGTGGCAGAGAAGGGGACTATTTAGGGAGAGGTGGGTACAGTACACAGAGCTAGCTATAGTCTGTAGGAAACCAGGTGAGTTAAAAAGGCTAAGAGGCAGACCATGGAAAATGGATACTAGTGGTTCTGCCCTGCCTGGAGCAAAGTGACCTAAGGCTAAGCTTAGCACCTTTGTGACTCTGGACAAGGACAKAACCTCCCCTCAGCCTCAGTGATCTTATCTGTAAAATGGGGATAAAAATGGTTTCCACACCATAAGGTTCATGTTGGCATAGTAGAACACGCTGCATTGGCAATTACAGTTTATAGATTAAAAGTCTATGTGTTTTCAGTGCAAAAGAAGTGGAAGAATTTTGAAAATTTAGATATTTCCTCTCCTTTTTAAGATTAAGAAAACATGTAATATATAATACTTTTCTTTTTTTTAAAGAGAGAGAGAATTTTATTTTTTTATTATTATTATTATTTTTTTTTTTAGTTTTCGGCAGACAGAACATTTTGTTTGTATGTGGTGCTGAGGGTCGAACCAGGGCCGCACGCATGCCAGGCGAGCCGCTACCGCTTGAGCCACATCCCCAGCCCTATATAACACTTTTCATTGTAAGCAAATACTTAAAGGTAAATGAACATCCCAACAATTATAACCTGTTGGTTACATTAATTTCTGACTAGCTATGTAAACACATGTAGGATATTGGTTAATTAGTGTAATAAATATTTTATAAATTCTTAAGTTGTTGGGAGATGCTGAGCAGGCAGCTCAGTGATTGGTCCCTTTACCAACCAACTCTGAAGAATGTTCTGGAGAATGTTTGCTGAGGTCCCGGGACTGGGGTAGATGATCAGAATGTATGCCCAGGTCTGGTCCAATGTTCTACTATCCCAACTTATATTTCCCTTGTTCACAGAGCAACCCTAGGAGTCTATGAAGCCTACAGGGTAGCATGTTTATAACAACTTACACCTCCACTCCAGGCATCTGTACTTCATCCAGGACTCTCTTTGTACAAACAGAATTCTTACTTCAGATGTGCTCCTGTGCTGGGGATATAGCTCAGTTGGTACAGTGCTTGCCTCTTATGCAAAAGCCCTGGGTTCAATCCTCAGTACCACCAATCAATCAATCACCTACTCCTTTCTGAAGGGAAGTCAGGGATTCTTCTGCCTCCCTCATAGTGTACCTCCTAAGTCTGAGTCCTCACCTTCCTCATTAAAGAGCCCATGTGAAATAAAACAAGATTCTTCCTTTTCAATCTGATCCAGAGGCCAAGCCCTGGTCCTGTGCACATCTTCTAACCCTTTGAAAGTTCCAGACCTGCTACTTTCCCTGATTTGGGAACTCACGTCCTGTTCCATGGGATGTCTCCACCTGTGACATCTCRGAATCACCATATCCACAATCTACCTATGACCACACTGAAAGAGGCTCCCCAGCTCCATTCTTTCTGATTTTCAAGGCAAAATAAGAAAAAGAAAGAAAACCATGAGACAGACCAGACCTTTATTCCCTACTGTCCCTTAGCCGTAGGGAATGTGGCAGGAATCCTGCACCCACTCCCTCTTCTAGCACCACGGTTCACCTAGGGTCTTCCGCAGTGACCTCCTTATCACCACCCCACCTTCTCTCCCTTCCTTCCCACCCCACTGTAAACCTCCCACCTGGGCAGGCCACCATGGAACTGACCCACCTCCCGGCCAACCTTCCAGGGCTCCCTGCCAGCTCCCCGCTCCCTGCAGGGCTGCCCACTCGGCAGCGCCTACAGCCTTTACGAACACGCCTTGTCACAGGCTTAAACCCGACCCCACGCAGGAGCCCCGGGTGGGGACACCGGCCTGGCCCTGGGACGCACCCCCCACGGAGTCGAGCTCCTGGGCGCTCTGCCTGGATCAGTCACTCCGACTCGGGGCAGCAGGCACGAGGCCGGTCCTCCGCCTTGGGACCCAGGAAGGCGCCCCCACGCAGCACGCCCTCAGCGACCCGAGCTGGGCATCCCTGGCTGCGCTGGGGCCTCCTGGCACCGCAGTCTGTGGGGAAAGTTGCCCCTACGCCTCTGCCGGCCCGCTCCCTAGGGCAGATCCCGCCTGACTCTTGGGGTGAAAGCCAGGCTGCGCTGGAGGCCTTGAGAAAGGGCCTCCATTTGGGGGCTGGGCCTTAGCTCAGTGGCTGGGCCCTGGCGTAGCACGCGTGAGGCCCTGGGTTCGAGCCTCAGCGCCACCAAACGAACAGATAAAAAATAAAGGCCTTCTGAACTGGGGGGTGTGGGGTGGGGATGGTACTGGGGATTGAACCCAAGGCGTTTTACTACATGCCACTGCCCCAGTCCCCTTTACTTTTTATTGAGACGAGGTCTTGCTATATTGCTGAGGCTAACTTTGAACTTGGAATCCTTCCTGCTTTCTGAGTCACTGGGATGTGGCTAGTTTACAATTTTTGACATTCGCTTCATATTTAACTGAACCTAAATATAACTTACTTAAGCTTTATTTTCCTATAGTAAGGACCGTTTTTGCTCAGAGTGATTGTCAAACATCAAACAAGGCACGTTGCTATTTATTCCCAATGCACCTATAATGCATAGTGCAGCCCCATGCTCCCTCTTAAAAAACTAGATGCTGGTTTTTACACAAACATGGATAAATATTTTTAAATGCTATATCAGCATCCATACAAGAGTAACTGTAGGATCTCATTTACATATATTATTAGAAAATCTAAACTAAACTATAGCATTACAAATGAAGTTAGTGGTGGCCAGCGAGTGGTTCGTGCCTATAATCCCAGTGGCTTGGGAGGCTGAGACAGGAGAATCCTGAGAGTTCAAAGCCAGCCTCAGCAAAGGCTAAGCAACTTGGTGAGACCCTGTCTCTAAGTAAAAATACAAAATAGGGCTGGGGATGTGGCTCAGTGCTCAAGTGCCCCTGAGTTCAATCCCTGGTACCAAAAGGAAAAAAAAAAAAAAAAAAGAATTCATCCTTTTATTCTAGCAGAAACCAATTCTGTTCTAAACTAATAGCACATAGTAGATACCTAAGACTTGTGGTAGCTTAAATAATATGAAATTATTACAAAACTGGAGAGAAGGGAGGAGTTCATGGTATGGTTGACTTGGAGCTTGGAAAAATCCATCCTTGGAGTCACAAAACGACAAATAATGCCCTGAAGGAAAACTTGAACAATCTTCCAGTCAATACCAGCCCCTGTCTTTTGTCCAAAGCTGACATCCACAAACCAAACCAATCATAAAGGCCCAAAGGTGTCAAATAATCTCTTGAAATAAGAGAGCACGGCATGATGTCATATCTGAGCATTTTAATGTGACAAAGTTATTACACACTGTGGTTCTCTGCACATTGCTAGAGGGAAGATGACTTTTGTAAAAAAGGAATAACTCTGACAAAGGTGCCAGTCAAACTCTATAGTGCCACACAGTTCACAAAGTTTCCCATATATGTGGCAACACAGCAAATAATCCTAATGTGGACAGTAGGGGATCAATTGCTGACTACCTCCTTATAAAACGAATCACTAGAGATTTGCTGTAATGAGTTATGTTGAACAAGGAAAGAACGCACTGCTTGTACTCCTAAGGCCTTTCTCCAGTGTGAATTTCCTGGTGTTGAATTAGGTCAGAAAAATGGCTAAAGAATTTTCCAACATCTACTGCATTTGTATGTGTATGTGTTGCTGAGAATTGAACCCAGGGCTTTGCACATGTTGCATAACTGAGCTACATCCCACTGCCCACTGCAATTTTAATACCTTTTTTGGTATGGATTGTTTTTTGAAACAAAGTTCACTTCATGGCAAGAAATAACATAATGTCACTTTAATATATATTAAAGGCAAAAGTATTTATTATTTACAGCTAGGAAAGAGAAAACTCAAGCAGGAACCCACAGGGAATAGCAACAGGGCAGCCATAGCAACCTGAAGTTGTAGGGGACAGTTTATGAGACTACTGGATTGAATTAGCTGTTTCCCAGATTCCCTGTGAATGGGCTAATTTAAGTAATTGGATACAGATATAATTAGCTGCTCCAAAAGAGGAACTGACCTACTTCTAGCCTAGGTCWCCAAGTGGATTCAGCCTTAWATTCATTTAAAAAAATTTAAAAGTATGTATCCAATTGTAATGTAAACATCAAAAGCACGGATAAAAATTAACTAGACTACATAACAATCAAAATTCCTACAAACAACATCAAAGGATACAATCAACAAAACAAAAAGGTAACCTATGGATTGAGAGAAAATATTTGAAAAGCATATATTTAGGATGGAATTAAAATCCAAAATGTTTAAAAAATTTCTACAGATCTACAAAAAAAAATCAAATAGCCCCATTAAAAAATGGGAAAATGACTTGAAAAGATATTTCTTCAGATATACAAATTTGAAGAAGCACAGGAAAAGATGTGTCACTAATGGTTAGCAGTATAAAAGTAGAAAATGCAGGGTTCCACCTCACACCCAAGATAGCTGCTAAAAAACAAAACAAAACAAAACAAAAAACAATTCCCTCTCAGAGAGAGAGAGAGAGAGAGAGAGAGAGAGAGAGAGAGAGAGAGAGAGAGAATGAACTGAAATATTGGCATATTGGCAAGGATATAGAAAATGAAACCCTTGAGCACTGTTGTGAAAACATAACTGGTGCAGGTAGTATGAAAAACAGTCCCTAAAAATATTTTATGACCCAAAATTTCCCCTTCTGGGCATATACCCTAATACCCAAACAGAACTGGAGTTTCAAAAAGCTATGTGTGTATGTTTATGTTCATAACAGCACTTTCCCTAGTAGTCAAAAAGTAAAAGAAACCCAATGTCCATTAACCAATGAATAGATAAAGAAATGTGTTATGTACATACAATGGAATATTAATTCACTGGGGAAAAAAGTCAGTGGGGTGAGGATTTCTGACACATGCTACAAATGGGTGAACCTTAAGAACATTATCCTAAGTGAAATAAGTGTTTCACAAAAAGATGAATGTTGTATGACTCTACTTATATAAGACGCTAATAGGTAACAAATCCATAGAACAGTGTATAGAAGAGTACTAGTCAGGGGCACTTAGGAAAGAGAATAGGGTATCACTTCTGCAAGATAGAAAGGTTTCTGAGATCAACTGCATTTGAAATATGAATTTACATAACATTAACTGTCAATTTAAAATTTAAAATGGTCAATGGTAAATTTTCTTCATTGTGAAATTTCTAATGTTTAATAAAGCTGGAGCTGTACTTAAAGAAAGCCCCACACCTACAGGACAGACAAGCCTCTCTTCCCTGTGGATTTTCTGGTGGTGAACCAGATGGGATTTCCTAATGAAGGCCTTCCGGCACTCATTGCATTCATAAGGTCTTTCTCCAGTGTGGATTTTCTGGTGCTCAACAAGTATATGTTTGTGGCTAAAGGCTTTCCCACATTCACTGCATTCGTAAGGCCTTTCTCCAGTATGATTTCTCCAATGTTTAATGAGGTTGGAGTTGTACCTAAAGAATTTTCCACATTGACTGCACTCGTAAGGCCTTTCTCCAGTGTGAACTCTCTGGTGTCTAATGAGTCTGCAGTGGTACCTAAAGGATTTCCCACATTCACTGCACTTATAAGGCCTTTCTCCAGTGTGATTTCTCCAATGTTTAATGAGGTTAGAGTTGTACCTGAAGAATTCCCCACATATGCTACACTCATAAGGCCTTTCTCCAGTGTGAAGTCTCTGATGTCTAATGAGTGTGGAGTTGTACCTAAAGAATTTCCCACATTCACTGCACTTGTAAGGCCTTTCCCCAGTGTGAACTCTCTGGTGTTTAATGAGTGTGGAGCTGTCCATAAAGAATTTCCCACATTCACTGCATTCATAAGGCCTTTCTCCAGTGTGAACTCTTTGATGTCTAAAAAATGTGGAACTGTACCTAAAGAATTTCCCACAAATGTCACACTCATAAGGCCTTTCTCCAGTGTGAACCCTCTTATGTCTCATGAGTCTATAGTTGTACATAAAGGATTTTCCACACTCTCTACATTCGTAAGTCCTTTCTCCACTGTGAATCCTCTGATGTTTCACAAAGTTGGCATTGTACCTAAAGAATTTCCCACATTTGCTGCACTCATAAGGCCTTTCTCCTCTGTGGCTTTTGTGGTGCTCAAGCATTGAATGTTTGCATCTGAAGGCTTTCCCACATTGACTGCATACRTAATCACTGTGTCCACTCTGAAGGGCTTCCTTGCCCTCAGTTTCCCTGTCTGGCTTCCACCCACAGTGAGAGACTTGGTGCTGGAGAAGGCGTGAGGTGGCTGGCAATTCTTTCCACTCTTCCCTGCACGTGAGGGCCCTCTCTGCCATGTGAACTCCGTGGTTCTTCAAAAATGAAAGTTTCCAATTGTCCCTTCTGGAAAGATTCTTTTCAATCTGCTTTTGGGGCTCGTAAGGCTCTGACTCACAAATATGTATCTTTTGTTCAGTTTGTGTTCTATTTTGTTCAGCCAGGTGCAGAATATCTTTCAAGAGTGGGTCACATGTCTCACTAGGCTGGGCATTCTGGGTGGATGAACCTGGCTTTGGAGTCCTGACCTGTGGTGCTCCTACAGAAACACCTTGCTCAGGAGCTGCCTTCTCAGCCTCGGCTCCATACCAACAACCTGTAAGGACAGAAATATGATGAAGTGCAAGTTGACTCTGATGAGAGGGGGAGCCCCATCATAAATGTGTGTCAGACGTCCATGAATAAGTTCATGGCTTTGCTGACAGGAGGTGGATATAAAGCCAGTGAGGAAGGCCTGCAGCACAGAGCTGGGCTTGGCAAGCTTCCATGGTGGAAAGCTCTGACAATGGATAAAGACACAAAATGGGACTATGGTGTAGGGGAAAGAAGCAGGCCCTCCAACCTACTGCTCTGCAAATGATTTCAACAGGTCATGGCTGTTTGTGACTGGTGAACAGTATGTAGGAGGCCTGGCTATTTGTGACTGTGAACATGTGTAGAAGGCTGTATCCAGACCTGGGGACACCTATTGGTGATAGCATCAGGTGTTCAATGTGGAGATGCATGCAGACTTCACAACTCCTTAAGTAAAGCTCACGTGTTGGAGGGCCCTGTGAAGGGAACATTGGGGGGAATGGGTGAGAGGTGGAGGCCACAAAAGGTGGGGAGGGGATGTGTGGCACTAGTGGTAGACATGGGCAGGACCTCAGAGTAGATATGACAATGGAGAAGAAAAGGTATAAATTGTGGCCTCTGGCCCTGGCATCAAACAATGGTGAGCTCAGGGAAGGTTCCCAGTTGATCTGAACCCAGCTCTGACATCACCCTTTCTCAACTACCAGCCAACAGAACCAAACCCCTTTAAGACTCTATGACAATTGCTAAAGTAATATTCACTCTCTCAGGTACCGGGGGTTCTCCCTATCACTCAAAGTGAAAAACTGCATGAGACTTGGAAAAGGCTGGTCCCAGGGAAAAGAAGGAAACTGGACAGAGATCCACCCCATGACATCCCACATTCCATAATCATAAGAATGTCAGAGAACAGTCCTGCAGAATCCACCCAGTGGCCCCCAAATCAATGATCATTGCAGTGCCAGAGATTCCTGTTCCAGGCCAGGCTATCTGTTCAAATATAACCTGGCAAGGGACAGGCAAGGTCAGTAGAATCTCTTAGATAAACTTGACATYTCTGACTTGAGTCTTTCTTGCAAGCCCTCAGAGCAGTGGGGGATGGGCTGCTAGGGTAGAACTGGAGCTGTGGACAGAGCCCTGGCCTGGCCCCCACAACACACCTGCTTGGAAATCAGGGAAGGAAGTAGACCCATGAACATACCAGGAAAACAGAGCTGCCCTTGGGTAACAGGGACAGGAGCCCAACCAAAGATACTGTGTAGAAGTGAGAGCCTTACCTAGTGAGGACAAAAGTGTCAAATTCTCCAGCATCACCTCACAGTACAGGAATCTCTGAGCCTCATCAAGGTGCCCCCACTCTTCCTGGGAGAAATATATGGCCACGTCCTCAAAGACCACACGACCCTGCCACAGTAGAAAAAGTWCAGTAGATGAGAGCCTTCTCTTCAAACTGGGTTGTGTTAGATTTTACATTGATCTATGTGGCACCCATTAATTACGGGGCTAAACTAACAGGTTTGTTTACATCTCCTAGGCCATGCTAAGCCCACATTCAGAGTGACCTCCTCATCTAACTCTCACAGATCAAGCCCGTAGTCCCCTTGTCCTAAGTCAAACCAGGGCCAAACCCTGGTGCCCCAGGAATGCTGGAATTATTTAACACCCAAATTTAAGCTGGTCATCCTGCCCTGACTTGTCTTTTCCTTGGGAACCCCAATAATGACCATGGCCTAAACTTCCCCTTTGCTCCTGACTTATGCCTTCTGACCAATCAATTCTTTTATGTGGCCCTGCAACATGTGCATGAACTGTTCTTGGAAAAATGTAAGGAATAAATTCCTTCTTTTATTGACATTGGCATATACCTGTCGTCACTCATTCATATCCATAAAGTTATGCCCCATGGGTTCAATCACGGCTACACCTCTGTCCAGTTTCCAGTCCTTCCCCACAACCACTCACTACTAAATCTCCTCCACACCTCCCAAAGTAGAAGAGCAGCTCATTGTCATGATCCCCACTGTGTTTAGCACACAGAAAAACAGGCTGTGGGCCTGGCATACAGAACTCTATCCCCTCAGGCCAGCCAGTTTCCCTGGGCCCCCCAGATCTTGCTTCCCAGACAACCAAACTTGGACTTACCCCTCTCCTTCCTGTGCCCAGTTCAGAGCCTAGAGTTGATCACTAACAATTCTCCAACATACACATCACTCTTTGAACTGCACTTTGATCACAGCTTTGGCTCCTCCACTACTACAGTTCCAGAGACACCTCCCAGACCACACTACAGAGATTTCCATTACTCTGCAATATGGAAACAAGGTAACATAGAGCAAATACAACCAGTGACCAATTTGGCCCCAGTCCTGGTACATAACACCAGATTTCCCTAGCACCAGGGGTTGATCAAAGCCCTGCTGCGACGGTCTCCAATCTAGCCCCTTTTTCAACGTCACTCAGCCACCCAAGCGTATGCAGGGACCTCAAACACTATGGCCATCCAGCTTCTGCACTGCATTTCTTGTCCCATAAGCAGTCATGACCATCTGCTCTCCACCAAAACTTCATTCAAAACCCAGCTGCACTGACCTTCAAATCTTCACCCAAACCCTCACCCCACCTCACCCCAATCAAGGCTTAGCAAGGTTACTGATCCCCTTCCCCCTTCCCCCACAGTATCCATATCATGGTTCACTTGCTCCTCATTCTGTCTTATTCCTCCACCCCACTATCTCACACATACACTCTCACACTCTGAATCCTCATTGGTATTTTGTAACTCCAACCACTAGCATCTAAGCATCCCACTGAGAGATGCAGTTTGCAGTCCCCCTGACTCTCACTCCTTATCCTTAAATAGCATTACCACAATAACCTACAGACGCTGCCTTCTAGTTCTGACCCACAACTTCATTCTCAGCCTCACACCAGCCACATGCTGTGCATGTCTCCAATATGGAGTCCTCCACCAGGAGTCACCACATCACTTTCTCTCTTTTTAAAATAAATGTGTATATTCGTGTGTGTGTGTGGGGGGGGGGTAGGTGGACACAATACCTTTATTTTATTTTTATGTGATGCTGAGGATCAAATCCAGTGCCTCACACATGCCAAGCAAATGCTCCACCACTGAGCCACAACCCAGCCCCACTTATCACTTTCTATATTGTGAAATATGGGCAGCTCCAGTACAAAACATATTGCAAAGCCAGAGGGAGTCCTTTAAGTCTGAGTCATAACATGGCCCTCTTCTGCTTCAAATCTTCTTAGATCCCACCCCCCTGAAATAAGAGGAACAGAACCTGATGCTGTCATTCTAGGCCTGATGTCTGTGTCTCTATCCACCCCTCTCCCTGCTCCCCACGCCTACCACACATAATAGAGACTTGCAGTTCCCTGAAAATGTCTGCTCTGTTTCACCTCCAACCACTTGAACATTCTAGATCCTGTGCCTTGTACCTTACCCCATCARCTGTCAAAAACAGGAATGACCCAAGACCAAATATAGGATATTGGACCTGGTGGAACCCATTCTTCAGACATGAAAAAGGGGAGAAGGGCAGACAAATAGTCTCTTATATTGAGGTGCCAGAGTCATATGGGAGGTAACAGGGTGGTTGAAAGGGAACTCTCTACTCACCTGTGCAGGGTTCATTTCTGCCATTGCCAGGGGACCCTGAGGGAAGAGGGAGGTCATGAGAAATCACAATCACAGTAGAACCTACAGGTTGAGTTGGACCACCACCTCTCTGCCCAGCCTTGGATCAAACTGACCTCAAGCTGATTTTATGAACTCAGCTTCTCAGACCTCAGTGCTCAGAGGGGCTTAGCAGATCTGTGACTCTGGGAAAGAACTAAACCTCCCTGGGCTTCATCTCTAAATAGAGGAGAAGAATGGTTCCTACTTACAGGGCTCATATAGGTATCAAACATTTGAAGCACACACTACAAATCAGATAATTCTATCCATAGGATTGTTTTATAAGTTTTTAATACCAATGAAGTACTATGGCTTTGAAATTGGATGTATCCTTTCAGCTTTTTTTTTGATGTTGTAGAGGATATGATATGAAATTTTCCATAGTAAGCAAATAGAGATAAATTAATGTCAAACTAATCATGAAGTTTGCAGAACTTGCACTTACTGAGTAACTTCACTTTTATTTATTTATCGAGACAGAGTCTCACTAAGTTGCTTAGATCCTCACTAAGTTACTGAGGCTGGCTTTGAACTTGCAATCCTCATGCCTCAACCTCCCAAGTCACTGGGATTACAGGCATGCACCGTGGAACCCAGCTAAATGATTTCACTTCTAATTGCCTATATATATATATATATATATATATATATAGAGAGAGAGAGAGAGAGAGAGAGAGAGAGAGAGAGAAAGATACTGGTTAATTAGTATTTAAATCAATAAGTAGTTCATACATTCTCAGAATAATGAGCTGTAGGAAGAGGCTGAACAGGCAAGTCAGCTACTTGTCCTTTCTGCAACCAAGCCTGCTTACATAACAGGGAAGAGAACTTGTTGGTGTCTCTTGACTACAATAGCAAATTATCCCCTCTTGCCTTAAAATGTGAGGGAGGAAAAGAAGCAGTGTCCTGGTCTGGAGTCTATCTGCTACACAAGCCTACATGACCTTTCTTTTGTTCTACAGTGATCCTAAAGGTCAGCCAAGTCTTCAGGTGGAGTGTATGAACAATCTAATATCTTGGTCTCCATCCCAGGCCAGCTCCAAGTTGCCAAGACTGTCCTCAAACTTGAATCCTCTTGCCCCATCCGGTCAGGTTGCTGGGATCATAGGCATGCCACACCTGCCCAGCCAAATCTCCTTTTTTGCATACATGGTCCAGAATTCCTTCTTGGCCAGGTTTGCAGCTCTCTGAAGAATCGGGACATGGTCCGCTTCATGTCTCAGCCAACCCCACAGAGCCCCCACAGTCTTAAAACCTTAAGACTTCGTCACCCAATTGGGCCCTCAGGCCCTTCCCACACTTTCCATCCCTTTGATATTTCCGGCCCAGCCCTCTTCCTCACACTGTAGGCCCCTATGTCCACCTATCTATTTGCTCTCTCCACCTTGAGACATATAGGAAGAATACGGCTAAAATAATCCATGATCTTCTTCCTGAAACCTGTTCCCCCTCCTAACTTYCCCAACACCATGATTTCAAATGTTGAGGGGCGGCAGGAAATCCTTTAGGCTCTGTCTGTAAGATCTCTAAAATCTCATCACACTACTCCTATACGGGCACCACTCTTGTCAAGCACCTACCATAATATTCCTGGGGTCCATTGCTGTTACCTCACCAGTCCCTCTGCCTTAATTCCCCATCTTATCTCTCTTTTTTCTTTTCTTTCTTTCCTTTTTTTTTTTTTTTTTTTTTATCTTTTTGGTACTGGGGATTGAATTCAGGGGCACTCACCACTGAGCCACACCCCAGCCCTATTTTGTTTTTTAGAGTCAGGGTCTCACTTGGGTCCTGCCTCCCTCCGCCTGCCGCCCGGCTTCCCTCCCCAGAACTGCTCCCTCTGGACCCGCCCCTGCCATTCACCCCGCCTACCACCTTCCTCGGCTGCCCCGCGGGAGGCCCCGCCGCACACTCCATCTCACCCGCTCTCCGCAGGCCGACGCCCAGTTTCCCCAATGCTGCCGACTCGMAAACGAGGCGGGGACGGGGACGTTTCCACACCGGGTCACATGGCTGAAACCTGACCCCACAGGAAGCGCCTCTGCTCTGGACCGGCCCTGGCTGCCGAGCGCGGGGCAGGCGCGCCTCCACCCGGGCTCCGGCACTCTGTCGGGGGCAGGTCGGGCACTCGGGCAGGGAGGCCGAGCTCAGGGGCGCGGCCTCCGCCCGCCCAGCCGGGCAGCGGGGAGCGAGGCAGGGGTGGGGGAGGGCTTGGGTAGGAACAGTGCCGCCTTCGCCAGCCAGGATCAGCTCAGGCTCGTCTCCGGCTTCGGGTGTGGGCGCCAAACCTCTAGGCGCTTTCCCGCTGTCACCGAGGTGACAACCAAGTACTCCACAAGCCCGAAGAGCAACCAAAATGACTGGCGCCGGAAGTCCCGCCCCGCGTGTTGCGCACGCACGTCAGTGACGCTGCGTAAGCTTTCATTGGGCCAGTCGCTGCGACCTCCGCTAGGACTTCTGGGTAGTGGAGTTTGCACACCGCTGCCCGTCTCCTTTCAGTGATTTGGCCACGCCTTGTTTGCTAAAGGCCGGTGGCACTGGTGGGACCCTGAGAAGTGGGGTTCCAGTGCTGCAAARATAGGAAGCTTTTTCTTAAAGGCGACATATCAAGTTGTCTTGGAGTGTAGGAGTCTGACAGAAATTTTAGAAACCCATTATTTCAGACTCTGAAGCATAAGATCCTAAAAGACTACTTATCTAAAGGGATACACTACGCCATAAAGGGACTCCACATCCTCTAAAGTTTTTGGTTGTCTTGTTGCTTTTCAAATACATGTAGAGGTAAGCTTTTGGAGTTATTTCATAGTTTCAAGGGGACGAAGTGTATATATACCTCAGTTGTGATGCGTGTGCAGGACTGTAGGTTTAGTCTCCACCGCTAATATAAAAATAATAACAGTAACAATAATCTTCAATATGTTTGGCCTAGGAGAAGAAAGACAGACTAGCAGTGGGAATGTGGAGGAGGGATGATAAGATGTACTGATGTGAATTGAAAGGGCAAAAGTGTGTTTGATTCCAAGAGCAAACATCCTTCCTGGCTGTACAGTCAGTGATTGTCTTCCTACCTAGGGAACAACAGTTTTATTCAAATAATGTATAATTATTTAATATCTAAAATAGTTTCAAGCTATTTTAATACTCTCAAACTAAAAGTGAGAGAACTGATCACTGTGCTATTTCCTGCCAAAACAATGTGTGCTGTTTGTGTAGTAGAAGCACATGTGCAAAGCATGATTATTAACCCCGAGAAAAGGTGTGAGATTCCATCATTTTATCTTGCTGAAAAGTGGTTTTCATTTCATTTTTAAATGCCACACTATCTGCACGTTGTTAAAATTCGGAAAACACTTGTGAAATGGAAGTTACCAAGAGCCATTTTTAATGATTGTGTAGTTATTCAAAACTAGTTCTAGAGAGTAATATCTATTCAGTATGAAGAGCTCAGTAAAGTTGGAGAGAACTAAGTCAAGAAATCAGAAAATTAATCTGAGCCTGTTACTGTACAGAAACATTTGCCACACTCATGTTTTAATGTGATACCTTTTCTTCTCCTCTTCCCCTTCTCCTTGAACCTGTCTGTCTGTCTCCCCCAACCACATACTGAGGATTGAACTCTGGGCCACTTTACCACCTAAATATACCCCCAGTTCTTTTGAGACAGGGTCTTGCTAGGTTGCTGAGGCTGGTCTTGAACTTGCAATGCCTCAGCCTAGAAGGTCACTGGGATTACAGGCATGCACAGAATGCCTGACTCTTTTTTCATTTTTCATTAACTGTTTGGTGGAAGAAGTGGATAATAAATTGAGAGACTTGTCACAGGTTAAAATGCAGTGATGAGTATTTACTGCTTTATCAAATGTAGTATGTAATGTTTCAGGCACAATAGTAGATGCACTGAACACATTGGGTGTAGGGTTTCCAGTTTCTCTGTTTACAGAACTGCTTTCTTAGATTCAGAATTTTTTAAAAAAAATATTTATTCTTAAGTTTTTTTTAGGTGGACACAATATCTTTATTTTACATTTATGTGGTGCTGAGGATCAAACCCAGTGCCTCGTGCATGCTAGGTGAACACTCTACCACTGAGCCATAACCCCAGGTCCCTTAGATTCAGAATTTGTTTACTTGGCATTCATTAATCACAGGACCAAACAGTTTTTTCCTCTCTCTTGCATGTATTTTTAAATGCCACACTATCTGCATATTGTTGAAATTCGGAAAACACTTGTGAAAAGGAAGCTACCAAAAGCCATTTTTAATGATTGTGTAGTTATTGTGTATGCAGAACTCATACTGTAGTCCCCCAAAGTGACCTGGCTCCCTGATCACCGAGCCGCAATAGCCATTGTTGAGGCAATGGTGAAAGAGTGGAGCAGTGGCTAGGGTGGGGTGGAGGGAGGGCGGCAAGAATGGGCTGCACTGCCTGTGAAGCCTGCCCTTCTGGCCCAGGCCTGAGGCATGTGAGCAAGGCCAAGACAAGCCAGGGTACACCAAACCGTCACACCACTGTGGGCCAGCCTGGCCCCAGTGCAAATGCCTACTTCACACAGCACTGCACCACAGACCTCAAACTGTGGCTTCCTGATGAGCATCAGGAAAGTGGAAGTTGGGTAGACCTGAATGGAGACTGGAGGACGAACAAGTCTTTTTTTTTTTTTTTTTTCAAACTCTCACTAGTATAAATTTGGGCAATGGCCATTGACCCAAGTTCTATATAAACGTCTAGACCAGCACAAGCAGCAACCCCTCTCACCTTGTGAGAGCTCTCTTCTCATATGAATAAATCCTAATATTTTACATTCATTCTTCCTCATCTGTAAATGTCATTCTTCAAATCCACAAGAACCCACAAAGAAGAAATTGGCAGTGAGTTTCTGGGTCTGCTGCAACACAGAAAAGCATAGCCTGACATTAAGAGCCACAATACACCCCTGAATGGCAGCGAGGAACTGCAGTGAAGGCTTTGCCAGATGTGA